TCATCATCATCATCATCATCATCATCATCATCATCATCATCATCATCCGTTGCTGGGTCGTGTCACAATCTCCGGTGCACGGTGCCATGGATGTTTTCATCTCGGCCGCTGGCCGCTTTCAGGACCAGTGCTGGCACTTTGCTCGTGACCTTGACTGCCACTTGGGCAGTCCTGAGGCACGACCAGCGACGTCAGCGACGCCATCCCGCCTGCGAGCTGTTGCGCTAATGACACCGGTGAAGGGATGTTCCTTGTCGTGCTTGGAGGGCGAGAAGCGCCTGGAACTCGTGTAAGAAGGTATAAGCGACAAAGTGCTGAAACGAAAGTAAACAGACGTGTTCTGAACTTTGTGCTACTTACTGTGATCGGTAGACTATTTATCTCAGTTATTATCAGTTCAATCTATTAACTATTGCCAAAAACCATGCCCCTGTGGTCTATTCTGTTCATTTGGTGGTAACTCCCTTGCTTGGAGGCTAATTGGTCGCCTCCGCTTAGTGCGTTTGTTTGAGCTGACGGAGTCCATTTCGCCTCGCCCTCCTCACCTTTCAGAACTTCCAAAGCCGATGGTTTGGTGGCTCAACAGCTAGCGCAATCCTGCTCTACATGGGGTGGATGATGGTGGATGCTTCCTGAAAGAGTATGCAAAGGGAACACTACCCCACATGTGCCTCGCTAGGAAGGCGACCATCGGAACACATGGGACGGGCCGCCAGTGGGGGCCACGGGTCAGGTCGGGCTTCTGTTCAGTTCTCATCCTGAAACAATCATGGAAGTACTTGGCACCCATGGAAGTACTTGCAATGGTGCCAATCATGGAACAACCATTCATGGAAGTACTTGCGCACTTCACACCATTCTGTCGTTGCACGACAAAATAGCTTCATACCTCTTAGAATCTTAGAAGTTCTTGCGAGAGACCAATTCGCCACGAAGCGGTATTCTTTACCAGACCAATTCGCCAGATCAAGCCAGCAACCCAGATTCTTAGTTCAGTATGTCACCGTGACAACGCTGCACGAGAGGGAGCCAGGAGCCCCGAGTGATGTGCAAAAAGAGGCTCACAGCGAAGTGTGGTGTGTGGTGTTGTTTTCAGACCCCAATATAGATACGATAGACAAGTAAATCCCCACTGAACATGTCTATATTGAAAACCGTTGCTATCTATTTGGGGATTACCATGGATTACCATTCATTTGTTAACCATCCAGGTGAGTCAGTTTGCACTGCCCAGCCAAACACAAGGTATATAGATGTCGCACGTGCCCGAATGTTTTTGATCCGCGCGCACGTCATGATCATGCAAAGCAGTATCATGCAGTGGCGACACGGTCCAAATGGGGTTTTGTAGCTTTGTTTTATGCCAGGGCCTGCCAGGGTCAACGAATGCAGGCTTGTGGTTCACCTCATGAGTCATGAGCTAAACATTAAGGGACCACTTCTCATGATGTTTACTTTGTAGATCCAGTTGGTATCCTCGAGGCCAGGGTTCCCAGCTCAAGAGGGTGTGTGGAGTCCGGGGTCATCCAGCGACACGAGACCTCGGTGGAACTGGCCACCTGCTCGCTTCGCTGTGCGGTGCGCCTCCCAAGCAGATGCTGACAGACGTCGTCACCGCCCGTGTTCGAAGAAGTGCGTTCGTCTTTGCGGGTTCAGTTGGCAGGTTTGAAAGGAGCAGTTCAGGTCTGAGCTGATCCACACATTTGTCCAGTTTGGATGGACGATGACGATGACGGACAAATCCATTTGGAGCGAAGAGAAGATGTGACTTCCCTAGCCTGCGACACGATGGTCCGACCTTCCTGGTGCGAACGATGCCATGAAACAGGTCTTGCTCGACCCTGACATCGCATTACATCTCCAAATGCCTAGAGACTGGCCAGTCCATCCTATAGCCAGTCCAATCTCACTGGTCAACTCTGCGGCAGAGTGTGTCCTCTTCCCTTTTGGCTCAAGTGGGCCTGCGATCAGCGCCCCCTCAAGGGGGGTGCAGCATCCGCGGTGCCACAGGCTATTGAAAGCTTACCAGCACAACAACTGAAAAGCTAGCCCAAACCAATCATGCAAATAGCATCACCATAGATGGAATCAGTTTTTTGGCTTGTAATTCATGAGGTGATCAGCATCCAACAAAGATACCCATGCCTCAGGCCATCACCTACCATGCTCAGATTGTCGGAGCATGTCGGAGCATGAGTTCTGCCAGCATTAACAAGCAACAGTCCGAAAATGCCAAACGAAACCACCACCAATCTTGACTTTGAATCAAGCCAGCATCAGATGTTTCCAACTGTCTAACTGAGAGTAGCGGAGATGTGGCCAACAGGAGCCCCATGTCTCAACAAGAACCATATCTTCCTTCAGTTTTCTGGGCTTCTTCTCCCATGCCATGTCGCCAGATCGTGGAGAGCCAAGCCCGGACAGCCCAGGCCGCGGCGCCCGCGCGCACCGCCGTGGCCCGGAGCCCATCGAGCCGGGCGAAGTTCGGCTGCTGCGGCCCCGAGCGGGGCAGCCTGCGCCACGTCCGGCGCAGCAGTGGAAGTTGAGCCTGGTGCCCCCTCCAGCGGCCAGAGCAGGAGATGGTCAGGCAAGAAGGGAAGCTCAAGGAAGCAGATTGCTCAGTTGGGGTGGAACTAAGACAACAACTTTCCTCGGTTTGAAGGTGGGTGACTTGTTTGGGATTTTCTTTGAAGCATCAAAGGTCACTTTAATAGATTAGATTGGAAGATCTTCATTTTTCGGAATGAATGGATTCTGGGATCCCCATGGCCATGGATTTGCGATCATGGAGGTCTCAGTACAGCGGGTCCCGTAGAAAAAACGGATGGGGGAAGAGGGGAAGAGAAGGAGCAGAAAAGTAACCAGGAGTTGAACAGGATTGATGTATCCAACAACAATGCATCCAACAGATTGTTGTTGGTTGGATCCAAATGGATAAGAATACACCAAATGGAACCATAAGTTGGATGCACTTTATTATGCATCGAAACACGTTGTCATGCGCAATGTCCCTAGACCGGGACGAGTGAGCCTGGCCACATTTCACTCAGCTGTGAGTTTTCAATGGGATGGAGTGGTTTAATGATGTATACGTTAATATATTAGTTAATAAGTCTGATACACCTAGAGGCCCTGTAGTTATGTCACAGGGAGGATTCAAAAGTACTATGTAACTTTTTGTACTGCTCACCCATCTCCAACAACTCATGGACCAACCTGTGTGCGGTGTTTTTCTACCTTCCCCGGTCGTGGCCCTCGCGACCTGCGGCAGGTGGTCTACTTGGGCCTCTCCAAGTTGGCGACACTGGACGCCATCCGCTTCTTGGTCCATCTCAATGGCCAAGAACACATGAGTCGCAAGGACGCTACGAACGGGGGAATGATTGAGTTATGGGGTGACCCAGTGGGTGACCCACACACCCAACGACATGGCCCGCCCCAGAAACATCCCAGAAACATCCAAAGCATCGAACCCCGAATCCAGAACCCGACCTGTTTGGTGAAGCTTTGGTTGCTTTCGGGTCCAAGACGGCGTGGGACCGCCGATCGGTGTCGCGGCGTCGTGCGTGAGCGCCAGCGGAGTGTTCTGGGAACGGGCACCAACGGCAAACGAGAGGCAGGAAGAAAAGGAGGGACATGTTTTAAGATGTTTTAAGGTGTGTCTTTTTCATTTTATGTGTGTGTGTGTGGGATTTTGTGTGTTTAAGTTTTGTCCTTGTTGGCAACCACCCAACGGAAGAAGGGAGGCAGGGGAAGGAAGGAACAAAGGAGAGCAAAAAGGAATAGATAGATAGTCAACTATAATATCGTTATGTTTGAAAAAACAGCAGAGATAGTTACTATGCATCCCTCGGTTGTGCGGTTTCTGGGCTGGCCCCAAGAGAACAGAGCGCTTGGTAAAGTGGCTCCTTCCTTCGGGCGTGTGACAGTTTTTAGTTGGAGATACCTTTTGTGAGACACTCAACGTCAACCGTAAATTTAGGCAAGGAAAGAGCCATGAATACGTGGCATACCTTTTGTGACCAACCCGATGGAATCATTTCGAGAGGAAGTGCTCCGCCTGCAAGCGGAAAGAACAACAATAGATAGAAACACAACTTTCTGAATACTTTGTTTTATATAGTTATAGTTTTTAGTTGGTTATATTACTTACTAATACTTTTGTTGTTATAGTTATGTTATTACCTTGTGTTACTTTTACAATAAGAAACATGTAGACATGAAACCAGCCACAACCCCACAAATGGTGGATGCAAAGAGCCTGCAGGTTTTTTCTGAAACATGTAGACATAGGACCTGCAAATACGTATAGCGGTGGATGGTTAAGGGCCACCAGGCATTTGCCATTTGACATGAGACCTTGGATGCTTTATTACTATTTTTTTTTTTTTCGGAACTCCGAGGTTTACAAAGTGCTGCGCTTGCCCCGAAATCTGCATTTCCAGCATTGTTCAGCCATCCCAGCACAAAAAGAAACACCAAATAAAACACAAATAAACCCAAACCATTTCCGGGCCCGTTCAACACGTTTGTTGAGTATAAATACACAGTCGAACACAACACATTACATGCATACGACACCCATACAGATAGATAGATGTACACATTCTGCGAACAAAAGTTTGCCCTACCTTTGGGTGCAAGCCCCCGTCCCAGGTTTTTCCCGCTAGAGATTTGTCCATGGCACGGATGGATTGATTGATGAGATTGATGAGAGAGGATTGTTCTCACACCTGATCCTGGCAAATTTGTTTGCAATCTCCCACGCTCCCGGCATGCAAATTGACCCGAGCATCTAATTCAGCCATACATGGGCGTGAAAACCACAAGCGTGGGGGTGGGGATCTGTGTCTTTTTTTCAATTGGGCGATGTTCAAGCCGAGCTAGTTTCCAGTTTCTTTCCACTTACGCGCGTGTCAATTTCTTTTTTGGGGGGGAAGTTTTCAGGACAATATTCCTTTACATGGTGTCTTGATCTGTGTGATGTGTCCTTTTTTTCTGGTGAGATCACCATCCTGACATTTACCGAATGCTCGGGCGGCGGGCGAATCGCTGCCCGAGGATTTGAAACGCCCTATGACAAGTTGCGACAGCAGCTGGGGCGTTTTGATGAGCGGAAAGCCGTTGGATGTCATTTTGTTTTTTTAAACATGTCTTTTTCCCGTCATGGAGGTTTTCAAGCAAGAGTTAGCAGGGGGTGGACATTAGAAGGGTCGCCCTAGTGAAAC